AGGGCTGTGTCTGGGACATGGCTGTAGCCTGGCCCCCGTACAACGGACCATCCCTGGCAGCCCAGGATTGAGGCCGCAGGCAAAGCTGGATCCCTATTTTCCCTGGGGGCAGAGGGGGGGACAAAATGGCATCAACTGGGGGGAGGTTTCTGGACACCAGGGTCCCCTGTCCCAGCTGCCCTTCTCCATCCCTCCTTTCTCTCTCTCACCCCGCTAAGGATCTAAACCCCACCCAGTCCTCCCCTGAACCCCCCATCTTCATCCACCACCTCTCTGGGTCCCCGGCCCCAGCCCTGGTTCTGTCCCCTCAGCCAGCTCCTAGAAGCCGTGTCCCTGGAGCTATGAATGAGTCTCTGTGCATGGGTCTGGGCTGTGCATGGGCATGCTGGGGGCATGAGCTTGCCATGGGGCACGTGCTTGATGCTTGTCTGGGGGATCAGGGTGGGGCAGGAGGTGGGAGGGCTGCCTTGTAGGGCAACCCCCCCTTCACCCTGTCTCTTAGTTTTTTATTTGTTTTGCTGCGGGATCTAGTGGGTGCCAAGCGCGGGGGCCTGGGAGAACTCTGGGCACAGCTGGCAGGAGGTGGGCTGAGCCAAGGGGTGCCCCCCTGGACTCCTGGGTTCCATCGCTGGAGCAGAGTCGGGGGAAATATGGAGGCAGCAGTTGTGGATCCAGGTCTATCCAGGAGCAAGTGGGGGCAGGGAATAGGAATGATGGGAGGAGGGGGGCAGGTTGGAGGCCGGGACTCCTGGGTCCCATCCCCATCCTCAAGCCGGTCTTCACATGCCTCAGTTTCCCCCCTGCCTGGCCATGGGGCTGATGCACTGTTATGGGGGTGGCGTGACAGGCTTGGGGGGGTCTGGGTCCTTAGCCCCTTGGTGCAGGCCGGGTGGGGGTGTGGGAAAGCTGAGGGTGCCCAGAGTTCTCCGGGGGAGGGAGGGACCCATGTGCCACTGGGGAGGGGGGCAGATGCCATGTGACACCTCTGTTCGGTCTTTGCAGAGGCTGCTGCAGGCCAGTGGCTGATGACAACACGGTGCACTTCAACTCCACCCTCATGGCCCTGATCCGCACAGCTCTGGACATCAAGATTGCCAAAGGCAGGGGCTGGGACCCCACCATCACCACCACCACCACCCAACCCAGAGCCTGGCAGAGGGGGGTGTACCACTGAGGCTGGGGGGTGGTTGGGGCTCAAGTCACCATGGGGAGGAAGACCATGATGGCTGCAGGACTGGCCTCTGCCAACAGGGAGTGCTGTGGGGAGGGGGCAGGACTGGCTATGAGTGTGTGTGTGGGGGCGGGTGTCCCAAGTACCCCAGGTAGGAGCTGCCTGCTGGGGGGCGCTGGGTGCCCAAGAGCCCCCCTGACCCAGCACCGGGTGCCTGCAGGAGGTGCAGACAAGCAGCAGATGGATGCAGAGCTGCGCAAGGAGATGATGGCCATCTGGCCCAACCTGTCCCAGAAGACCCTGGACCTCCTTGTCACCCCCCACAAATGTAAGGACCCCTCCCTCTGCCATGGGCAGCGTGTTCTGCCCAGATCTCCCACCTGTCATCTCTTGCCAGGAGTGGCATGTCCCATCCAGACACCGCCCCCTCCTCCCCAGGATCGCCCCCTCCCTCAGTCCACCCCACCCCACAGGGGCAGCACTGCTCAGTGGTGCCTGGGTGGGGGCATGCCGAGCTGGGAGTCCAGCTGCCTGGGTCCTCATCCCAACTCTGGGAGAGGATTGGGGTCTAGTGTGGAGAGGTGGGAATCAGGACTCCTGGGTTCTCTCTGCAGCTCTTTGAAGGAAAGGGTGGAGGTGGGGTGGTAGAATGGGGGTGGGGAGTGGTAATGAGATTCAGGACTCCTGGGTTCTTTTCCCAATGGGGGCCAGAGTGGGGGGAGGGACCAGCCCTGGGGGATGTGGGGGCAGGGTGGGGAGGCTGCACCAATGGCTCTGGGCCTCACACTATCTTTGCCCCACCCCAGCTACAGACCTGACGGTGGGGAAGATCTATGCGGCCATGATGATCATGGAGTATTATCGGCAGAGCAAAGCCAAGAAGCTGCAGGCCATGCGGGAGGAGCAGGTACTGAACCCCAGTGTCATGCCCAGCCCTGCCCCCTCCATCACCACCTTGTCTCAGTTTATCCCGCTGCAGGTCCCCCATAGGGGCTGGGCGCAACCCCCCTCTTTGCCTCCTAGTTCCCTTTCTCATTCACCCCCCGGTGTCCCCACAGAATCGGACACCACTGATGTTCCAGCGCATGGAGCCGCCATCTCCTGGCCAGGAGCGGGGTCCTGGGCAGGATGCACTACCACCCCCTCCCCTCGACCAAGGAGGAGGCTTGTAAGTTCTGGTGGGCCTGATCCTGCCCCCCCTCCTCCCCAGCCAGGGATCATGCCCCTCCCCCCACAGCACCCCCTGCAGGGCCAGGCTGGGGCTGAGGGGCCTCAGACCTGCCCTCCCGTCCCACAGCGCCCCCTGCTGATGGCCATGGGTCGGGCGGGGGGGCTGGGGTTGATGGGGGCTTGTTGCAGGGGGCACGAGGGCGGCATGAAGGAGAGCCAGTCTTGGGTGACGCAGCGTGCCCAGGAGATGTTCCAGAAGACGGGCACCTGGAGCCCTGAGCGTGCCCGCCCCGATGATCTGCCCAATAGCCGGCCCAGCTCCCAGGTGCCCCCTGCCCCCATCCCGAAGTGCCCCATGGTGGGGAGGGGGAGGACTGGGGGGTGAGAGCAGGAGGGGCTGGGAGCTCGGATGCCTGGGTTCTCTCCTCAGCTCTGAGAGGAGATGTGGGGCTGGGAGGTGAAAGCAGGAGGGGCTAGGAGCCCAGATTCCTGTGTTCTCTCTTGGGGCAGGTGGGTGAAAGCAGGGAGTGCTGGAAGCCTGGACTCTCTCCCAGCTCTCGGAGGGGAGTAGGGGCTGATGGGTTAGAGCAGAGATTGTAGGTGAGAGCCCGGATGCCTAGGTTCTCCCAGGACTGGTGGATTGGAGCAGGGAATGGGAGGACAACAGGAGCCGGTATCTGGGCCCCAAGAGACTTGGGAGGTGGGGCATGAGCTCAGGGACTCCTAGGTTCTCACTTGTGGGGAAGCCTCCTTCTCTTCCCCCACTTAACACAGAGCTGCCCCCTGCAGTCGGTGGAGATGCGGGAAATTGGCAAGGACGGCTACTCGGACAGTGATCACTACCCCCCCATGCAGGGGCATGGCCGAGCTGCCTCTATGCCACGGCTGCCTGCCGAGAACCAGGTGAGGGCACCAGGTGGTGCTGGCTTAGGCTGGGGGGAGACATTGAGACCCCCCACAGCTCCCTCAGGCCCTTCCGCAAGAGCTGCCAGTTGGCTGCCACGTTCCAGCATTTCCCCAGCCAGGGGTAGGGGGGAGTTCCATGCTGTGGCATACCATGATGGTGCTGGGGCCTGTGGGCTGGGGACACATGTGTCACTACCTGCACCAGTCCCAACCATGCATGCTGCATGGGACTCTGGCGCCTCCATCTTGGGAGGAAGCAAGTGCAGTCCCTAGCACTGGGTAGCTGCAGGGGGCTGGGCTGCTGTGGTGGGGTGACAAGATAGATAGGGAGCAGGGGGGTCTGGCACCCTGGATGCCTGGGTTCTCTGCAGCTCTGGGAGGCAAGTTGGGGCTGGGGGATTTAGAGCAGGGAGAGTTGGGAGCCCAGATGCCTGGGTTCTGGTCCAGCTCTGGGAGGGGAGTGGGAGAAGGTCTGGGAGCCTGGATGCCTGGGTTCCCTCCAGCTCTGTGGGGGGAGTGGGTCCTTCTGGGTAAGAGAGGGGGTGTTGGGGGGAGGTTGTGAGCCTGGACACCTGGGCTCTCTCACTGTGCTGTGGGAAGGGAGTGAGGGGTTGCTGTTTGAGCAGGGGGCAGGAGCCCAGACACCTGGGTTCTCTTCCCGTTCTGCTTGCCCCCAGTGCCCCCCCATGAGATTTCCCACTTCCCGCTGCTTCTATCAGGCTTGTGACATGAGCTTCCCATGTTGGCATGGCGCATGCTGCCTAGCAACAGGTGGGGGGGTGCAAGGGAGGGGTGCTCACCCCATCTCTCTTAACAACAACACCCCAGTGTGGCTTGCAGGGGGGACGAAGGGGGAGGCGGTAATGATGACGCATGAGCTGGGCAGTGCTGGGCTCAGCATGGGGCAATGGCATCGAGCCGCACGTGTGTGTGAGCGTGAGGACACGTGTGTGTGAGCATGAGGACACGTGTGTGTGAGCGCTGCACCAATACACTGCACATGTGTCCATGCAGGGCATCCATGAAGCAGGGTGAGGGGGTGCTGGACACCTGGGTGCCCTCCCCGCTCTGGGAGGGCAGTAGAGCTAGCAATTAGAGCAGGGGGAGCTGGGAACCTGGACACCTGGGTTCTCTTTCTGTTTGGAGGAGAGGAGCAGGGCATGCTGGGAGCCCAAATGCCTGTGTTTTTTCATAGCTCTGGGAGGGCAGTACCGCTAGTGGTTAGAGCAGGGTGGGGCTGGGACCCTGGACACCTGGGTTCTCCCTGCTCTGGGAGGCGGGAGGGATCCAGCACTTAAAACAGGGGCATCAAGACTCTGGACTCCTGGGTTCTTTTCCCCCACACCACTTTCATCGCTGGGTCCCTGCAGGCTGGAGCTGAACAAGGGCCAAACCAGAGTCACTTCAGGACCTGGAGCGTCCGCACTGGGAGGAAGGGGCAGGGGGCTCAGCCTGCTTTCCCCTTGCTGGCTAATCCGGATTCACTCCAGAGGGGCCTGTGTAGATGCTTATGGCATTGCTGCTCTGGTTGGGGGGGGGCTGATCCCAGCCCACTGGGGCTATTGCTGGGGGCGGGGGGCAGAGCTGGGCTGCAGCTTGCTCTGGGGCTGGCGCTGTGTTGGGGGGGTGCCGGGAGCATGCTGGGGGGTCCTGCCGTGCTGCTGTCCCCTGTTCCCTGGTGTCCCTCCCCATCTCATCCCCCCCCCGTATTTATCTCCTGTCTCTCTCTCTCCCTCTCTGTGTGCACCGCCCTGCCCGGCCCCCGCAGCGGAGGAAGGTGCGGCCCCGAGGAAATAATCTCAGTGTATGTACCGCCGCAAGGCCCCCCAGCACCCTCCCTACCCCATGCCGTGGGCTCGTCCTTGGATGGATGGACAGATGGACACAGTCCATGGCTTGTCCATTGTCCCTGACTGCCACCTACCTACCGTCCCAGCTGTCTGTCTGTCTGTCTACACGTGTGCGTGCGCACATGCGTGTATCTGTCTGTCTCTGTCTATTCATCTATTCGTGTGCGTGTCTTTCTGTTTGTCTGTCCCTGTCTATCTCATTTGCTGTCTGTCTGTCCTTATAGCTGTCTCTCTATCTATCTGTGTGTTTGTCTTTGTCTCCCTGTTTGTCCCTCTCTGTCTGTCTCTCCCTTTCTCTGCCTGTCTCTGTGTATTTCTGCCTATCTACCTGTCTCTCTGTTTGTCTTTCTTTCTCTTTTTGGCTGGTCTGTCTCTATCTCTATTTGTATGTGTCTTTCTGTCTGTCTCTCCCTTGAGTTCTCTCTCTGTCAGTCCTCATACCCCATTTCTATCCCCACCCATCTTTCCCCATTCACTTCCTTTCTAGGTGTCCATCTGTCTGTCCATCTCTCTGCAGCCTATATTTCGAGGCCCATAATCACCCTGCTCTCTCTGTTTGTCTGTGCCCATATGCCCTCCATCTCTCCCCCAACCTGCTTCCTCCCCAGGTCCTTCCCCCTCACTTTTCTGCCCCATCTCGTCCTTGTGCATCAGACCGGCCCCACGGCAGAGTCCTGTGCCCCGGCACGGCCCTGCACCCCCTGCCAGGGGATGCTGTACCAGGCAGCCACAGCCTTCAAAAGCAGCATGGTGCATACCCCCCAGTCCAGCTCTGTCTGCTCCTAGCAGGGCTCCTGGACCCCCTACCCCAAGTGGCAGCAGGGGGCAGTCTCTAGAATGGGCCCCTCCAGCTGAGCCTGGAGGCAGAGGGCAGCCAGCAGGGAGCAGCCAGTGGGGCTCTGTGTCTTGGGGCAGCACCCAGCAGCCCCCATCCTGACCAGGGAGCTATGCATTACTATGTATTAGATATATTATGGTAGTGCCAGGGACCGGCACCCTCTTGACTATGCCCCTAATGTGCAGGGAGCTGTACATTTGTATATTAGATGCATTACAGTTGTGCCAACCACCCACTAGCATGACCAGGATGTGCAGGGAGCTGTACATTACCATGTATTAGCTGTATTATAGTAGTGCCAGTCACCCACTAGCAGGACCATGATGTGCATTACTATGTATTAGGTATATTATAGTATACCTATATTACTGTAGTGTTAGAGACCCTCCTTGGTGCCTCCTTCCTGACCAGCTGCCTGATGTGCAGGGAGCTGTACATTTGTATATTAGGTATATTATGGTAGCACCAACCACTCACTGCCCTGACAGGGACCTGCACGTGCCGGGATCTGTACTTTTTGTCTATTAGGTGCAGTGTGGTAGTGCCAGGGACCTGCCCTCTCCTGACCAGTTCCCTGATATACAGGGAGCTGTACCTTACTATGTATTAGATGTATTATGGTAGTGCCAGAGATCCTCCTGACATGCAGGGAGCTGTACATTCATATGTTAGGTGTGTTGTGGTAGTGCCAACCACCTGCTGTCCTGACCAGGACCTGGATGTGCATGGATCTATATATTCTGTGTATTAGGTTATTACAGTAAGGCCAGGGATGTTGACTGGGCAGCTTGATACCCACCCTGGGCACAGGGCAAAAGGGCATCAGCCTTGGAAGAGGGAGGAGGTGGGGGGCAGGGTTAAAGAGGTGGGTCTGAGAGCCAGGACGCCTGGGTTCTCTCTCTGGCTGGTGGGATCTGCTGGCTAGCAGGAGGGGGAGCCAGGACTTCTGGGTCCTTTCCCAAAGTAGAGCATAGACTAGCGATTAAAAAGGCCTGGGCATCCCAGTACTCCTGGGTTGTCTCGTTTAAATGGAGCGTGGCATGGTGTGGTGTGGCATGGTGCCGGGACTCCTGGGTTCTTTTTTCAGTTGGTACGTGGGAGCAGAGGCAAGACCTCTTGAGTCCCAAGGCTGTTGGTGGGGGAAGCAGCCTAGAGGCCCTGCTCTGTGCCTTTGTTTCCCCATCAGGCCAGTGGAGTGCACTGGGGCTGAATCCCAGATGTCCCTAGGGGAGGTCCATCCCTCCATGGACTCACCATGTCCATGTAACAGCTCCATGGGTTGTTGGGGGAAAGGTGTGTGCTCCTTGGGGGGTGGGAGGGATCCCAGCCACATCCCAGCACCCACGGCCCTGGTGCCCTCTGTGTCTCCATCTCTCTCTGCACAGACTATCCCAGATGTCAGCCCCATGAAGCGCTCGGCCTCAGTGCTGGGGCACCCGCGGGCCCGGGGCATCCGCCTGGATGACTACTCATTGGAGCGCGTCCCCCCCGATGATGCACAGCGCCATCACCTGCGCCGCAGGGACCGGGACCGGGACCGGGACCGGGACCGTGCCCACCGTGCCTCTGACCGCTCACTGGGCCGCTACGCAGATGCTGATGCAGGTCCGTGGCTCCCTCAGCCCTTGGTACCCCCTTGATCCCCTGACCCTCATGCCCCACAGCTGTACTCCCCGCCAATGTCTCCCAGTGCCTGGCCCCTTTCCATGATGCTTCTTGGTGCCCCCACAGGCCCTGGCCTCTGATGCCCCCTGCCCCCGCCAAACCCCTGCCTTTGCGTCCCCAGCCCTGGCCCCTGACTCTGGTGACCCCGCAGCTCCCTGAGCCTGTGCCATCCCACCGACAGTGACTGCACAGCAGATGCTTTGGGTTTCTTTTTTGTGATGGCACGGACCACGATGTGGGACACTCATGCAATAGCATGGCCTATGCTGTGAGTCTCTTGTGCAAGTGCATGCCAGGGCATGGGATTCCCACATGATTGTATGATGGGCTGCAGGACTCTTGTGCGATTGCACGGCCCAAGTCATGGGTCTCTTGTGCAATTGCACGACAGGGCACAGGAGTCTTGTGTAATTGCATGACAGGGCACAGGATTCTTATGCAATTGTATGGCAGGCTGCAGGACTCTTGTGCCATTGAACAACCCAGGCCACAGGTTTCTTGTGTGATTGCATCAGGGCATGGGACACTTATGCAATTGCATGACGGGTCGCAGGATCCTCATGTGATTGTACAGTCCAGGCCATGGGTTTTGTGCAATAGCACAATAGGGCATAAGAGTCTTGTGCAATTGCAAGATGAGGCACAGGAGTCTCATGCAATTGCACAGCTGGGGCTACAGGTCTCTTATGTGATTGCACGACAGACCACAGGTCTCCCATGTCAGGGTAGGCCTTGCATCACCCTCTTCCCCCACAGCCAACATGATTGGGTCTCTCCCGCTGGTTCCCAGTGAGCTCCTTACCTGTCCCACCCTCTTGGCAGGCCTGGGCACGGACCTGAGCATGACACCGCCATCGGGTGAACTGCCCCTGAAGGAGCGTGATGGGGAGCGTGGACGCCCCAAGGACCGGCGACATCACCACCACCATCACCACCATCACCACCGGCACGAGGATGGGCGGCCTCGCGACCGTGACCGCCGCTGGGGTGCCCCCTGCCCCACCCCCCTCATCCTCTAGGGCCCCAGTGGGGGTGGGGAGGAAGAGCAGCTGGGGCTGGAGCTGGAGGTGCATCTAAGGAGATTCCCCATATTGTGATGCTGAGAGCCCTCCCCCAGGGCAGGGGCCTAAAGGGGAGGAGTGGGCCTGATCCTGTGGGAATGATCCCTGCCCCAGCCCTACCCCCAGCCCCAGCCAGACATCTAAGTTGGGGGGCAGGGGGAGAATGGGTCTGATCCTGAGCAGGAGGGAGGGGGGAGCCAGTCCAGGTTTCAATGGGTGAAGGCCTAGTTCCTTCAGAGTGGGGGGAAGAGGAGGGCCCGGGTCCTTGGTGGGATGGGGCAAGGCCTTGATCCCCCCAGCATTCCCACCCCCTCCCTTCACTCTGGGGCTTGGAGGGGTCTGGGGGGGCAGGTGTCTTGATGTCCCTCCAAGCCCTCCATTTCCATGACTCCCCGCAACTGCTTGCCCCACCCTCTCCCCTCACCACAGCCCCCCACTCCCTGCCCCCTCCTGCTTGTTTCCTGCCTCCTCCTCCTCCTCCTATCCCCGCTCCCCCCACTGCACGTGCAGTTTGGTGGCGGGTCTGGCCCTGATTCATGTTTCTCTTCGTGTTGCCCACTTGGCTCCACTGCCCCGGCCAGGGGGGCGCAGGTAGGTGCCAGCAGAGCTCCCCCACTGCCCACCTGGACCCTATGCGTGTGCTGTGACCCCTGTCCTGGGTACCTTGGGGCTCTGCAATGTGGGAAAGCTTGGAACGGAGCTGACCTGAGGCCAGGCACACGTGTGAGCTGCACAGGTAGAGAGGGGGCGGGGTCATGTGGGGGGGCACACATGCGTGAGGCCTGCAGCGAGGTGGCTGCTTTTGTGGTGCATGTATGTGCAATATCCCCCCACCATGCCTACATGGGGAGCACATGCACATGTGATGTGCAGATAGGGACTACCTGTGTAGTCACACATGTGCAATATGCAGAGAGGGAGGTACATCTGGGGTACACCTATGTGATAGGTGGTAGACATGGGGCACATGCATGTAGAACAGAGAAGGGTACATATGGGGTACATGTGTGCCATGACCCCCTCCTGTGCATATGTGTGGGGTACATGACATGCAGAGAGGGTGGGTACATGGGAGCACAAGCTTGTACAACATATGCAGAGAGTGGGCAACATGTGGAGCATGTGTGTGACATAGTACACATGGGGGACATGCACGTTGGATAAAGGTGGGGCACATGTGAGACATGGATGTGACATGCAGAGAGGAGGGTACATGCAGGGCATGTGCAACAGAGAGGATACATGTGGGGTGTGCATGTGTGAAACACAGAGGAAGGTACATGGGGAATGCACTACATGGACGTGCAGAACTGGGCATGCGCACACAGGGTATACACCACAGCCATGTACAGCAACATGGGCACACATGTAGCCTCTGCACATGCATGTAGATGGGCATGTGGGGGGCACAGGTCTGCACCACACATGCATCAGACACATGCACCCAGGAAGCCCAGCATGGACATGCCACAGAAATATGGGCCTATCCACAACACATGCGTGACACACGTGCAGCAGTACAAGCAGCTCTGCTGTGGGGGGACACATGTGGCACATGCCAAATGAAGGCTGCACACTGCTCCCTGCCCATCCCCTGCATGCAGGGGTGGAGGGAAGAAGGGGGCTGCCAAGCTCCTAACCTTGCTGATCCTACTGCCTCCTGTCAGGCCATGCCCCATGCCCCATGCCCCACTGCCACTGTGTCTGTTTCCCTCCTTGCTGGGGCAGGGCATTGCCAGAGCAAGGGGGGCTTTGAGCACCTTTTGGCAGGGGGGGAACAGGAAAGTGGGCACCAAGAACAGGGCTGTGGAGACCTTAAGTGAGTGCCACCCCCCATTGCCTTCCACGTTGACCCAGTTCTCTCCAGTCCGCAGCTCAGCTCTGTTCCGTGCCCCCCCCAGACCCAGTGCGCCACCCCACTCTGTTGACCCCCCACTCCCTGACTCCAGCTCCATCCCTGCTTTCCCTCTACCCTCAGGCCATCAGCACCCCCCCGCCCAAATCAGACCCTCCCCCCCACCAAAGTCTCCATTGATCATCTCTCTTCTCACAGGGTTTCCCCTTCAACCCTCTGTTTCTTCTTTCTGCTCTTCCCCCCACCCCTTTCTTTGCTTTCTGGCCTCCTGGCTCCCTCTGTCTGGTTTCCCCCATCCTACCTCCCCCTGCCCCATTGCTGTGGCTGGTCTCTGTGTCCCCCCCTCCTTGATTCCTACCATACCTGCTGTCCCCACCTCTTCCTGCCACTCCACCCTTCGTTAATTGTCTCTTCCTTAACTTACCTGCCTCCCCACCCCTTCGTTAACCTCCTCGTCTGCTTCTTTTTTGTCCTGTTTCTTTGCTTTTCTCTTTGTTTTTTTTTTCTTTGTTTTTTTTTCTTTTTTTCCTCCTTCTGTTGCTTTTTGATTTCATTTTTTGTTTCA